CGACAACAACAAATGCGGCGAGGCGCCCAACCCGAGCGCTCGCAGTGCCAAGCGGGCTCAGACACAGCGCATCCGCAAGGGCATGAGCGACGGTGCATGGCGGGACAAGCAGGAAGAAAATCCCCACAGATGGCAGATTGCCTGGACCCTGCCACAGCTCTACACCCCGGGCAACACGGAGGCAGAGAAGGCCAAGCACCAGCAGCTCATCCAGCTCTTCTGGCAGCTTACCCGGGGGCGGCCCATCACGGACTTCATGGCTTCTAAGGAGGCGTTCGAGGCGCTGTCCGTCCCACACATAAGCAGCTCACACTGGAGCGGCTTCTCAGCCTGGAACCTCGCTGAGGCGCTTGACGGGGTACTGATGGACAAGGTCCGGGAGCTTGTGCGGAGCGCGCGATTCATTTCGCTGAGCATGGACGAGTGCGTGGGCATCGACAAGAATTCGCGCCTCTCCCTGCACGTGTACATCATGGATGCGCAGTGGAGCCGGTTGCCGCTCCTGATCGATGTGAGTTTTAACGGGTGGACAGGCTGCCGGGACTGGGGGTTTGCCGCATTTGTCTTGTTCTCCACAAGTTGTAACATCATTCCTCACAAGTTCCTATCTTCTGAACTTGTGTCCAATTTAAGTACATTGGACATCCGTGCATCCCCGCAGTTGGCGCATGTACGGGGCGCACCAGACGCTGAGAACATCACGCAGTTGGTGCTGGATACACTGAACGTGGAGGCCGACCTCGGGGAGGAGGATTTGGCGCGCAAGCTCGTAGCGGTCAGCACTGATGGTGCAAGCGTGATGACGGGTGTGCACAATGGGGTGTCAGCAAGGCTCAGCCAGACCGCGCCGTTCCTGCTGAGCATCCACTGCATGGCACACCGCACAGACCTCGCCATTGCCGTGCTGGAAAAAGCCCCGGTCGTCAAGATGATTGTGAGCGTCATCAAGGACGTTTACAACTACTTCTCGGGCAGTGCTAAGCGTGTGAGCATGTTCGAGGATGTGGCCAAGGCTGCAGGAACGGATGGCAACCGGCTGAAGCGCATCATAGAAACAAGGTGGATCTGTGCACGAGAGCCGGCAGCCTCCCTACTGGCCGAGTACCCAGCGCTGCTGCCGCTGTTCTGTGAGGAAGAGAAGCTGTATAACACACTGCGGGACGCCCGCCTGTATGTCTCAATGCACGCGCTGATGCCCGCCCTGGTCACCATCGACATGTTCATCAAGCTTTGCCAGAGCCGTGGGCTGTATATTGGTGAGCTGGCCAAGGCGCTTAAGTGCACCAAGGATCGGCTGCGCGAGATGTACCTCAGGCCGGAGACCCGCTACACCACCGTGGAGTTTGGGGACTTCAAGGAGCTGCTGTCAGTCGATGGAGACATCAAGGGCACCGCCTGGGTGTTCAATCCCGACACGCCAGGGGAGGAGCGGATCGGACTGATGTGTGGCAGCAGCGGCTTCTACCCCTTCACCGCTGATCCTCCTCGCACTGGCCGAGACCGCACACCACCGCCTTTGACACTGGACCGCCTGGCCCAGGTCGTGAAGTCGGTGCAGGCAGACATGTCAGCCGCGGTCGAGGAGCTGATAGGTGAGCTGTCTTCGCGGTTTCCCCCACATCCACTGCTGGAGGCGGCATCGATTGTCTACAGTGAGTACTGGGAGAACAGGCCCACGGCAGCCGACTTCAAGGCGAAGCTGAAGATCCTCAAGGACTACTACTGCCGTGAGCGGGTGGGCGCCAACTCCTGCAAGGTGCCACCGATGCTGGACAGCGCCTTGCTGGACGAGCAGGCGAACTTGTTCGCCTCCAGCATGAATCAGCTCGCCGTGCAGCAGCGCCTCAGGCGGGCACGAGAGCAGACCGAGCGGCAGAGGCAGCAGGCGGCAGCAGTGGACCCAGACGCGCCCACATCCAAGCGTGAGCACCGGGTGCTGCTCGATGACACACCCACAGCACGGGTGTGGCAGGCCATCAGCAACTGTGCGGTCCTCGCCGGCGGCTTAACGGAGTATTCGGCTTTGGCCCAGCTGGTGTTAGTGATGGTGCCAGGGTCGGTGGAGGATGAGCGGCGGTTCTCGGCCATGGGGTACTTGCAGGACCCCACCCGCAACTGCCTGGACGAGCACCTAGCATTGTGTGTGCGGATGTTTACCCAGGACCTGTTCGACCTGGGCACGTTCCCGTTCCGTGACGCACTGAGGAAGTGGCTGCACAGCAGCAGCAGGGGCCGGTACATGATGAACCGGTAGAGTCCTAATGTGCTGTGGTTTGCAGTGGCGGGTGACGGCCTTTGATTTGCTATGCGGTTGCTTGCTTTGGGCCTTTGCTTGGTCGGATTTACTTTTTGTTCACAAACAGTGCCAGAACTATCTATGCATGTGCATGAAGAGTGCGCACATGAACGAAAACGCGCCAACGCAGTGCGTGCCTCTTGGTCTATGAGGGGAGTTGTAACTTATCGGGGGGGGGGGGTCTGGGGGGAGCGTAGCCCCCCCCAGCGCCCCACACTTAAGGAATACATTACGGCGACGCTAGCAACTTTGTTACTTAGGTTGGAATAAATTGAGACCTGCCCTAAATGAAAAAAAATCACTGAGGACCACGGGCCTGAGACGACACACCACAAAAGCTGAGATACGGTCGCACAGAGAAGACCAACACAAAGCGAGTACTCGCACACTGGTCCTTGAAGGCCAGCTGTTCAACTACCACGAGCAACGAACAACGAGCACTTCCCGAGGGCGGCCACCACTACCTCGCCGGTCCAGTCACAAACGAGGCAAAATTGGTCCGCAAGTCAGTCTCCTCCTTGGGGGGTTGCGGGCTCCCGGGTGCAGCCCAGCGCAAGACACAGCAAAAACACCTATTGCCGCGGGGGGGATGACAAGCCAGCACGGCGCCCCCCTACAAAGCCCGAGAAAGGCACGGCTCACAGACGCTGCCTGCTCCCGCTTACCACACCGAAATCCCTCCCCTCCTGACCCTGACCGGCCGGGACCAGAATCACCTGCTCTCCACCTTTCAAACCACTCTCCTCCACCGCTTTCCCACCTCCTCTCCACTTTCACAAGCCACCTGTTATCAATCAGACCTAACAATCCAGTCGCCAACCAGGTGCAAGTCAGAAATTTTCTCAGCCGAAACAGGTGTCCATGCTTTTATGTCTCAAACTAATTTTACCTAGGTCCCGATTTAACACCTGCATGCAAGCATAGGGCTTGCGATTGCGTATTGTTCGCTGGCTATCTATCAGCTACGTATCCATACATGCATATTCCTTTACCCACCTGCCCATGGCCCAAAAGTTTTCACGCCTCCCGCTCCCGCCAGCTCTACCGCTACGACGCGAAGGATTGGACCTTGTCGCAGCGGTACAGCTGGCATGAACTAATTGTCGGTGTCGGTGACGGTGTCAAATGCTCATAATACCCTTAGTAGCCAGAGACAGGATACCTGCTGATAGGACGTGTGGATTGCCGGGTGAAAAGCTCTACTCGCTCTCGTCCCTGCTTGGGCTCGGCTGCTCCTCAGCCGGCGATGATAAGGTTTGAAGTCCTTTACAGTGCCCAGCCGCGGGGCCTACTGGCTCCTAAAGAATGGCCAGAAGTGATCTATAGCCTGGGCAGGTGCGTGTGAGACCTAGGTACCCAGTAAACTGACGGTCTTCTGAGAGTGACGATAGAGAAAACCGAGGTTTTCTGTAAACTCAGAAAAAGAGTTGGTTGTACGCGTTGGTACGGCATGTAATGCCGGCCAGTTCAGGAGGTCGTTCTGGTGTGCTAGAGTATTTTTCGGCTTTCGTAGCTGCATTCGGGTGTCGCTGCATTAGGTGAGGCATTAGATGTCCAGGCCTAGTGGATAGCTTCCCGGTAGCTGGAGCCTCCACCCGGCATATACGACCTACCGAAGGAAGACTTATTTCTATTGCTTGCAGGTACCCTTTTGTAACCGGAACTTTGGATGATTTCTCATGAAAATGCTTTTGCGACCGGCGTTCGACTGGCTTTTACGCTGGATGTTCGAAAGTTGATTGTGTGTTGGCCAACGCTCCGACCCACTTCTGGCGTGCCAGACGTACACCTTGGAGGTGGTAAGGATAAGGGGCCTTATGCCTACTATCCTCATAGCATATAAATGCGCGCCAACTTCCGCTGTTAGCGCAAACCACTACACGACATCACGACTTATAACAGGGGCAATTATTCGTAACTGTCGCGCAACGAGATCGCGCGAACAGGTCCCAACCGTAGTAGGTGGTTGACCGTTAGAACTTGCGATAGTGCTTATGTCGATGACGGGTGCTATGGCATGATAGGCTTGCCATTACTACCGCTTCTCCCCGGATCTCGGCCCTTGCCATCTGTGTTCGTTTGGGTCGGGTCTGGAACTGTGGCTGAACGTCACAGTATGGAACACGGCGCTCGAACTGTTGTGTCGTACAGCCGTGCCGTCATCACCGCCGTCGCCGTACAACACAGAGGTGCACAGGATCGTTGTACGCATGTAACAACTCAGACAATTCGTTTGTAAAAGTTTACGGCAAATGTCAGAATGCGTAACCACCACCAAGGTTATGTTCTGCATGGGTTTCGGCATTGCCAGGGTACGCGTACATTACGGTCCCCCTGTGGAATTGCCAGGCTGTGTTAGGTTTTAGGTCCGTGATATAATATTCTCCCGCCTACACGAAAATTGGGAGGATCCGCTCACCACGACCAGCTTGGTCGTCGTTGTCAAGTCTGTCCGCAACACAATATATGGTGAAGCGTCAAGCATATGCATCGTCACTTTAGGCATATGCATCCTAAACGACATAGTTATGTTTAAGGTGATCAGCAGTTGTAGATGTATTTATGACATCAAAGTGTTAAATAACGAAAACAAGATGCTCGAACCCCGTACAAGTCTCGAACATGATCAGAATGCCAGAGCCACCAGATTATAGTCTTAAAGACACCTGTCTACATCGTTAACTGATCTACAAGGATAACCCATCGTTTTCAAACTGCGCCTGTAAAGAAAGTTCTCCCACCAACTGTCGTTCAGCCATGCCTCCATCAGGTAGCATGCGCCGTGTCAGCTCCCTTCTTATACGGCTAGGAAATCAGGGCGCAGAATCAGCAATCAGCGCTGGCTTTCGGCATCTTCGCGGTGGGATTCTGGGATTGCCCGGCGCTGTATCAGCGAGCTCAGGCGCAGCTATTACGAATTCTGCCCGTGAAACATCTATCAATCGCGGATTTGCGTCCAGCGGTAGCATTAGGGATGCCGATATGTTTGAGATGGCCGACGACAGCGTTTCTGTCGACAGCATAATGTATCCCCAGCCACAGGTGGGTGAGGGAATATGTGCGGAACCCTAGTCCATGTATTTTATGATTTTGAATATTTTGCCAAGGGACTCGGATCGTTGTGCGCATCCGCAGGTGTACGTGGGCCAGCCTGCTCCGAGCTTCTCTGCTCCTGGTGCGTTGCGGCTGTTACACATGGCTGTGGTACCATGTTTCTGTTTACAGAATCCATTTCCAAAAGTTCATGAGGGCACTATTGCCCTTGTCGCATGAACTTCACCGTGAAACAAGCAGTTAGTTGTGGGCAAGCGGTTGGTCTCGTTGAGCAGTGTTTCGCGGGACCAGACAAGAGGTTCCGCGGATTTGGCCCACTACGGCAACGCAAAAATGATAGCGTTGTTCCACTATGGCTGCTTGTGCGTTGTTGACCGTCGAGGTCGAATAGCCATCCAGTCCGTTTTGCCATGGAATCAGGACGTCCAAGCTGATCAAGAAGCGACGCAGCTAGATCACCGCATTCCATGATTCCAAATGATTCACGCGGTCATGGCCAGGTTTAGCTTAGGCAGCATGTGAATACCGCATACGCGAAGATGGATTGTGGGTTTTACGAACATCATCCACATCTTTCCCCCCTTTTTGGGCGGGGCCCCAGCGCGAAGCGCCCAGGGGGGCCCCGACCTGTAGGATTGCCCATGTCCGTGTGTGTGTGTGTGTGTGTGTGTGTGTGTGTGTGTGTGTGTGTGTGTGTGTGTGTGTGTGTGTGTGTGTGTGTGTGTGTGTGTAACGGACCAAACATAATATCTCGCCCGGCTGAAACGCGTTATAGGTACTATACAGCATTCTCTATTGCAAGGTATCTCGCATGTAGCCAACAAAAATCGTATGAGCACAAACAAGTTTGGCTGCCTCAATTGACCGAGGCCAAAGTCACATCAACGCCTCTCGCGCTAAATTTCATCTCAAAAGGTACCGCGTATCTCATATTTGAATTCTTAGATGACGGCGTATGATAACTCGAACTCCCAGGCCTTGAGTGTGTAACGGACCAAACAGAATATTTCACCCGGCTGAAACGCGTTATCGGTACTATACAGCATTCTCTATTGCAAGGTATCTCGCATGTAGCTAACAAAGACCGTATGAGCACAAACAAGTTTAGCTGCCTCCATTCACCGACCTCAAAAGCCACATCAACGCCTCTCGCGCTAAATTTCATCCCAAAAGCTGCCGCGTATCTCACAATGGAATTCTGAGATGACGGCGTATGATAACTCGAACACCCAGCTTGTGTTACCATTTGCCGGCATGGGCAATCCGACTTGCCACCAGCAGGCCAACATAATTTGCTTTCATTTCTCTAGGAAATACACAAGCTCCTTGTTTGTACATTTACTTTGGCCAATGCACGGGGCCTCCTGAGACTTGCGGTGTGCCCCGATGAACCCCGCGGCTGTGGGGCAGATTGCTGAGGCCGCTGGCGCTTCGGGGATAAACATCACAGACAGCACCGAAATTCACCCAGCTTTCGTTACCATTTGCCCGCACGGGCATTCCGACTTGCGGTCTGCCGCACTGTCCATGCGGCATGCACCCGGAATGGATGCGATTCGCGTGGAGCCCGCAGGCGGTGCTGACGATTCCGCCAGTGCAAGCTTAGCTCTCACACCATCAGCACTGCTGCAACAAAGCATATCTCCCACCGCGTTGACACTACCCATCAATTGTCACCCTTGCCACCCTTGCTATCGGCCTGTACGCAGTGTTTTTTTTTAAAGTAATATATTACTTTTAAGGAATAAAGAGGCCTTTTTGGCCTTTGGAAATAAGGAACAAAGTGAGGCCGATCCGTACATTTTCATTCCTTCAGCCAAAAACGTCCATTGCTGCCAGATTGCTCCGTAGTGTGCAGAACTTAGTATTATCGATCATAAAATAGATATGAGGGGCCGTAAGAAGGTCAAGCCCGTGAGTCAACGCGGCATAGCAGAATGTATGACCGGTCCTTCCATAGACAAACACGCAAAAGGCAACGACTTGAACGCCGAACAAACACAAAAACAGCAAGATAAGTCTAAAATTTTTCCTGATAAAGGCGTTTGGGACGGCGGTGCTGTTGTCGGTAATGCATCGGCAATGTTGCTGCCAGCGGCGACCGATGACACGGGCGCCATTACCCCTGCCTTCCATGGCGGTTGTGATCAGCATAAGCGCAAGCTGTCACCCAATCAGCTTGACAACAACGAATGCGGCGAGGCGCCCAACCCGAGTGCTCGCAGTGCCAAGCGGGCTCAGACACAGCGCATCCGCAAGGGCATGAGCGACGGTGCATGGCGGGACAAGCAGAAGGAAAATCCCCACAGATGGCAGATTGCCAGTGCGTGCCTCTTGGTCTATGAGGGGAGTTGTAATTATCGGGGGG